TTCTGTGATTCTGTGATTCTGTGATTCATCAATCTTGAAGAGCTTAACGTAACAAAGAGAGAGGGTTCTCTTATTCTATTCCTCCCAGTCAAGAATGGCTTGTACATATTTACATAAGCAGCTAAATTTCATCTTGAAACCTGAATTCTAAGAGTTCAGAAAGCTTATCAAATCCAACAGGAGCATCAAGTCACCTTCTGACCACTAATAAAAACAGAAGTTGTATGTCCTACAGTAATTTTTATGGTGAAAATTTCTGTTCCAATACAGTTATGTGCCTATGTTCACCCTAAGGCTCTGTACAAAAACCTGATTAGGAAAACGCATAAGCTACATAGAAAAGAAAACGCAATGTGTGACTAGTTTGTTCAGTCTGATATTCTAAACTGTACATAGCTACTTTTAGTAAGCTTTTCACACAGGGTGCTAAATATATGTATCTATACCCACATACACACACACACACACCGTGTGCTCCCTAATGTTCATGTTCCAAGTCTAAAACTTGCACAACGAACTTCATCTGGAACTTTAACAAAATTATTATAATGCCTTAAAAATGTAAGTTTTGGAATAGAAGTGGCAACCAGGTTCTTCATGGAATAGTGCCATACCAGGAGAAGACATGTCTTAATTAATCCAAAAGATTAAATATATTTGACTCCAATCATCCAGCTGCCTTCAACCCCTGTCTCTTTTCCAGCTTGAAGTCTTTTCTGGACTTCTGATCAATCTCTGATCAAAACTTTCAGCATTTCTTGAGGGTGAACCATAGGCTTTAATTTTAAAACCTTTCATATGAAGTACTATAAAGATTATATACATACATGTGGTTGTGCAAACTACGCCCCATAACTACTCATCCAACATCAAAACCTGATAATCACTCTGAAGTTATTTCCTTAGGTTGGCCAGGACTGAGTTATCTGTTGAGAGTCTCTCACTAGAAGTTTCCAATGCTTTGAGTGTGTAATCCTTAGTTCTCCAGTTGACGAGAAAGTATAATCAAGTAATCTTCAGATTTCTTTAAACTTCCACAGTGTTCCCTAGTGCACATTCAGCAAGCTATCCAGAGAAGGTGTAAAAAAAAAGCCAACAAACAACCAACTTCTATTTTAGCTATTATATGCACCAGAATATCATCACCACAGTCAAACCAACTTTTCTTTAATGGTTTTGGCAACTGAAAAATCCCTGGACATATCTTGCTTGCAAGGGGATGATAGGATTTTTTTTTAAATCATATCTGATCAAAATCAATAAACTTGTTTTATTCTGTTGATGAATGAGAATGCTGTTGACTAAATAGGGTGCCCCTTCATTGGAGCTATTCTTAAAAAAAAATAACACAGGCAACATGGCATAGAAGAGTTGCCACTGCTAACATGGCATAACTGCCACTGATGATCGGCTGCTGTATTAAATCTGTCTTTGCTCTCAAGGGAATAACAGGCAGAGAACATACCCTTATTTCTAACTATCAGTGTCGCAAAATCTACTATAAACAGAAGCTAAGTCAAGCTTTTCTCTGCTTGGAAGATATATACAATAGACTCCCATAACAGGTTACCAGCTTGAACGATGGGATTTTTTTTCTAATAATGAATATGAAAAAAGTGCATGAAATTATTTAATTTCATTCTAGGAGAAAGTCTAATTGGATGCTTACAGCTTTCTTCACTTCTGTTTTCATACATGAGCAGGAACTCTTACCGTTTTCAATTCCTCTGTATGATTCTTTTCTGGAAAACAGGACTGGAATTTAACCAGGCATGAAATAAATCAGGGATTACAAAACAGCATGAAATTCTGTTAAGATGGTCCTTCTGTTGTGGCGATACTGTTAACAAGGAGGGCTGATAAATGAAGGAGGGTACATGCTGAAATACACAAGGAATGATTTACTGATAAAGTTTATTTTACTGGTTTACAGGTTACACCTATCTCTTTATTTAAAAAGCTCTTTATAAACTTAAAAAGTTACCAGAGACAAAGCATTATATATATATTTACAATCTTCTCAACTGATCCCTAAATATCAATCTCTGTTATTCCCCTATTTGAACACTTCCTTCTTGCTCATTATATTTTAGCAGACAAAAGTACAAATATACCTACATACCTGCTGTACTGAGAGATCCTGATTTTTCAACAGTATTAATGCAAGGCTTTTCCAGCAAAGCAAGGATTCAGTGAGATTTTAAGTGGGCTTGAAAAAGGAAAATACCAAGAAGTTTTACGTGAGAGTTTTTGAGAAAGAAAGAGACAGGTACTATTGAAATAAAATTGTAAATAACGGTTTTGCTAATATATTTTGACCAAAAATTTATCTTTGTTCAGTATTTCTTTCCAGCTACTTTTGTACTGAAAGTACATACTACTATCTATGGTAGTAGTATGACAAGTAAGTGCAGCTCCTTTTAAAGACACAGTTTATATAGGTTTATTATCAGCAGAATAATGGTACTGCTCAAGTATTTTCCATTCAAGTTACCACTGGTTTGTAACTGATCCAGAGAATTTTACTCACCCTTTAATACATGCCTCCAACCCATATGCATATAACAGGTATCTAGAACTTACAGTGACTCAATCACAGCAAATCAAGTTTCAAATATATGGCAATACAAGCAAGACAACTGATAATCTATGTACCTCAGCATCCTGCTATGCTGAGTAGATTTGTTTCATAATGGACATTCTCATTGAAATATAGACACTGCAAAATAGCAGCTCTTTATATGTGAACAACACTTGTTCCTTTTTTTCGTAATATTTACAGCTTGCTATTTTGCTGGAACTGAGACACCAAGGAAAGAACCTGCTCTGAGGCTTTAATCTGTTTACTCCCCAGGTACGCTGCACTATTACTGGCTGTACTCTCTAAGAAATATCGGTAGTTTACCATCATGCCACAAGAAGCAGCAATGCCCCGAGGGCTTGTGTCCGCCATCCAGTTTATCCGCCACATCACAGAGCCATTCTGAAGATGAAAATTTGCTACTGGATTAAGAGCATAGCCACGATGTTTCTCTCCATATAAATACCAGGCACAGAGTCTCATAAATGGTGAATGGAGCACTTTAACTAATTCTTCTGATCTCACCCACTCATTGTTATTTAAGAGTTTCTTTAGTGTTTCACTAGTAGAGTCTCCTGTGATATCAGAGATTTCTTGCCATTCTGATTCTGTAAAAAGTTCATTTCTTTCCAGTTCTTTTGCTTGTGAGGAGAGAAGACCAACAAGCCATTTTGTGAACCCTGGGATAGGTGAAAGAGTGGAAAAAGCTTTTATCTGAGGAAGTTCTTTCTGCAGACAAAAGGAGAGAAAAAAATTCTTGAGTTTTGTCATGACTGACAATGAGAAGTTTGAATGAAAGAACAACTGATACCCTTTACTCGATGTCAAGTGAAGACCAAGATTCTGGGAATTAACTGATTCACAGACAAAAAAAATCACCCTGTCAGTAATGGGTTTGTGACTAGAAAGCAGTTGGAGGCTCTAAGAAAATTTTAACACTGACTAAATTACAGTCCATACACATAATCTATTTAAAAGTACTTACCAACACTACATTCTGTATATCATTTTACAGGCAGAAATAAACAAATATGTGTTTATTTTTAAAAAATATTACTCTTCTGAATAACTTCTTTATGGCATATGGTTGCAAGTTTCCAAAACCTTTTAATTAACATTTATTTTTCATATGTAACTATCTTTTTTTGAATCAAGTGCAGTTCATTATTTCAGCCTACAGTAAAATCAGGAAAGGTACAACTTCTAGATTTTTATGGAAAGAAGTATTTCCTGAAGTTTTGAAAAAGGTTCTTTATATAGGTCAGCTATTTTTCATGCTATTTACAAACTATAAACTACATTGATAAAATAGCAAGATAATATATACTTGCAGTCAAAAAATTAATCACACAGTTTAATACTTGTTTTAACAAAATAAAACTTCTGTACTACTAATTTATGAGTAAAAACTAATTATTTAATCATGTAAAGGAAAACATACATAAGGAAAACTGTGTGTTAGTTTCGGGGCACACCAACCTGAAGAACAGAGAAGGTCGTTAAACTCACTGTCAGTTGGAATTAACAAAAATTACATCAGGCAATCCTGTTGAAGTAGTAGCAGGGATAAGAATCAGAGGGAAGACAGAGCTGAACAGAAACAACCACAGTGTTCTTTCAATTATTGTTCATATAGGAAGCAGTGGTAAGAACATATATATATCACCATTAGAGAAGCACCTCAATGTCAACAGAAGATTGAATTTAAATGACTACAAAACACACTTTTTCTACTCTGAGTATTACCCAGATAACCATTAAAAAGTTACCATTGCTCAGATGCCAACTTACACCAGCAAATGTTAATGGAACACATGCTGCTAGGTTGTTTGAATCACACCTGCGCTGTTGCATCCCCAGGTACCGCTGTGCTTCGCACAACCGTGACATCTGCATTCCGTTTCATGAGGATGCAGAAGCCAGGGCACGCAGGCCTGGCACACCTCTGCTAGCCTGGAGCCAAGCACCATTTCTAATAACTTTGGTAACTGGAATAAAATTCAGCTGGTTATTTACGTCTTTTTCCTTCCAACAGAGAGCTTCCCAAACAGCTTACTGCTGTTCTGCTGGCTTCCAGCATGACAACACACCCAGTCACCTTAGATCTACCACCTCTTCAGTTTTGTGACTTACAGCTCCCTAAACTGGGTAACCTCACTTGCTCCCCTTATTTGAAGTTCTTTGAAAAGATAACTTACACAGATATGTAAGGCAAATAATTCTTCTTTTGGGATCAGACAAGAACAAGAAAAGCAGACCAAGGTACAAAAAACCACATTTAACCTCCTTAGAGAACTGAATAAAGAAAAAAGTAGATTATTTTATAAAAACATTCATTTCTGTATCCTACTGAACAAAACAAGCATTTCTGTAATCAGAGTGCCCAGGAGTTCCTGACTGTGTCACATTCCCAACTGCTATAGCTACCATGGTCACGACAGTGCAATACTGGTTAGTTAAGCTGTGATCTCCTGTGACTTCTTGAAGTCTCCACTAAAGCAGAGAATGATTTTATTTTTAAGAGTAGTTCTGAAGCATAAGTATGTGACAAGATTTGTGAAATATAACTATCAGGTTTCATTGCATATGCATTTCATTAAAGTATTCTTTGTATAGAAAGAAATGTCTGTGGAAGGCAACTTCTGCTGAAATCTTAGCACCCCTTTGTATACTTTTAGAGAATACAACATTTATAAAACATTTATTAGTGTTGTGCTCTTACTGCAGACCATGGCTACAGAGTCATGGATATAGAAAATATGTTTTAATTAAAAGAATGTTTCTTGGAGTAGACAGATCAGCCTTTTTGTAAAAAGTTTCCCCTCTGCTTTTGAAAAACAGAGCAATGACCATAGTACATTTTAAAAAATATGTATCTGGGGGCAGAAAAAGGGGAAAAAATAAGAATAGAACAAAGCAACTCCAACTTTCCCTTCCTAACTCCATGTTAAATACTTCTCCATGGATATAAAGACTATCCTCAAATCAATTTAAAATAACTTTATAAAATTTGAATACAGAATCAAATCTACTCATTATATCTTCCTTGAATCACCTTTCATCCGCCTCCTTGTGGGGTTTCTCAACAAAGGAGTATATCCAACCATCACATCTGTAATTCACTTGTCTTTAAAGCAGCAGGACTTTAATTAGTATAGTAGAGTTATGATCAATGCCCCCTTGTCAGCTACATTTTCCTTGATTCAACACTAGCTCCCACCAAAGACAACACAACCAGCACAAAAACACAGATCTCCTGGAGAAGGAGGGAGAAAGATGGCACAGAAGTAAATTTTTAAAGGCTAATGGAAAAATATTTCAAGATATTTGTTCCTGGAGAAAAAGCTGATAGCTTTCAGTTTTGTCAAGATGGCAATGAGGAGCATCACTTGCTACCTTCATTTCTCCATCAGCGCACTGAAAGCTAACCAGTGGTGACCCTCCGACGACCGGCCGTAGCTTAGCTGCTGAGACCGCCTGCTGTCAAGTAATTTCATCTTTTGCCATGGCTTAGATGAATTTCTACCCAGAAAGGAGGGCCACAGTTCCCTTCTGAAGATTCAGTGACCCAGTACCCTTCTGTCTGCCCACACAATAAAGATGGATGACAACTCAGCAACTGTCAACGATGTGATAGACCTGCAAATGAACCTTAAGGTACAAAAACACAAACCTGTAATAATGAGAAGTACCCTTTTCATGTCAGCATTCTCTTAAGGATGCTCCCAAGGCCCTCCCAAAAGACACTGAATTTCAAAACAGGGTTTCACTCTTGCATGTCTTCATTCCCTGTTGTGCTTTAAAGTTCATCTTTAGTCCATCACACAGAGAACTCAAGAGACATGGGTGAGATGGTAGAAGTTTTCAAATTAATGACCTATCAAAGAGAAATCCTAGATGTTCTGCTGAAGGGAGTATAGATATTACAATTGTGCAGTGGAGGTGAAAAAGAAGAGGAAAAAATAAAGAGAAAAAGAAAAATGTTAGAGGCTATTTTCCTCTAGTTATTATTCTAGTTAGAATCCCTCTAGGTATTCAAGGAACACAGAACATGTTTCCTTTTGGCCTGAAGATGGCATTGTATTCCTTAAAGGTGTTCTTTTTTTCCCTAACTATATTACTAATCCTATAAAAGATAGTGCCTTTGAGAACATACTGCTTAGGTCTCTCTCACAAATTATTCACAGATGTTTGGGGTTAAAACCTGAGAGGAAAAGAAGGAAGGTAATGTTGAAATCTGAGAAGCAGAAATTCTTCTTTCAGATAAAAGAAAAAACTTACTGGACCAAGAGAAAAGGCTGCTTACCAGAGAGTCAAGTCTCAAAGTCTTCTGCACTACCTCTGCTAAGAAATCAGAGTGTCTGAAAATACTATTTTGCTACTTAACAGAGCTAAAAACCAGGGCTTTTCACACAGGTGCTAAGCCATGTCCATTGCTTCCATAGGGTAACAACCCCAATTTCACTTCCCAGTTTGCAAAGCCAAGAAGTTACCAATGCACCATCCACAATCAGAAAAGTGAGAATGAACAATTCGTGTATTAATAATAACCACTGCGAAGTTCCTAATTGTCCTAACTGACATTTTTCTTCCTTGTGATGTCGACTGCTCCTTGTTTATCATTCACTTTCAGACGTGACCTGTTCACCAAGGTCAACCCAAAATATTTATCAGGAAGTTAGAAGCTCCTACTCTATTAATAAAATGGGAAGTTGTGCATACTTTTTTCTTCTACAGATAAGACATGGGAAAGTGACCTCATTTTGAAGCCACAGTACAGGCTACTATGTATCTGATAAATGCTTGAGTTTAGGAGCTTATCTGAGGTGGCCATTTCTTGCAAAAAAATAAATAGATGCAGCAAAGTGTGCACATTTATGTTGTTGCTGAACTGATGTGCTGGTTTCTACGGTGAAGATCCATTAACGTTTATTTTCTTGTCAGAAACTCACACATCATTAAGAAACAGCTGTTCGTTTTGGTTTGGGGTGGATTACCGAGTTTGGTCATCTTTCAGTTTGTCTTCTTTTTTTCATTGTAGAAGAGCACAGATTTCTCCTATTACCCACACCTCATCTCAAACTGTCTTGCACTCTGAAAGCTGTAGTCCAAGGTCACATTTTTAATCTATTAAAGTAAAGCCTGTTTTGGAAATTATGATCTCCCTAGGTCACCTAGATCAAATTAAGGTAGCAATTATCAACACACCAACCAGAAAGCTAAAATCTGCTGCCAATTGTTAAGCATTCTATGGAGTCACATAGCAGATATCAGTTTTCTCCCTCTAATGCCACAGACTGTAACCTTCTAAGCAGTTTTCTCAAAGGCTACACACCACAGCTATCTGTGTCTGTCATCCGCAGTCTGAACTGCTATGATGTACTTTCCACAGTGCTACAGACCAATTAGAGTGGCTACAAATGCATTCTGAATTAAATGTCTGTCTAATGAGAAATCTATCTGTCTACACATCCACCAGCATCTATCAGCTCACTAGAAATCACAGAATCACAGAACGTTAGGGA